AATCTAAGACTAAGTCTAAAGGCCATTGTCGTTTCAATCTCCTCATGCCAAAAGGTTGAGTAAAGTAATTCAATATAAATGAGTATAGTTATCATTAAATGTTTCTCATTAATTGTCTGATTTTCAGGTTAGAGTGATTTTTTTAATTAATTGAACAATAGTTGATTGGTACGATACACAAGATTTAGTGAAACAAACTTGTTCAATTTTTTCAAATTTCTATAAAAAATTGATATTATACTCAAATGTCAAAAGCTAATTTTTGGTTCCAATATGACACTTCTTACCTTTAGCACTACGTTTTTCCTAAAAAAGCTTGGCAAAAAACAATAATTTTTGCACATTGTCAATTAAAATATAATATTGTTCCATAGATATGATCAAAATGTTTTGTTAATAATATTATAAGATTAAATCAAAGAAAAATGTATAAATTTTATATAAAATTATAATACATACCATCAATAAATATATTGCAAATTCGCATTTTTTTGCAATTAATTATCAAAATGCCGTATACAAAGATCTTCGCGTATTACGGCGAATATTTGTAACTAATATTCTATACCTAAACTAGGTGTAAGTGCTATTTTGCTTTACGGCAAGTTGCATGAACTTCCCGATATGTGTAAATTATCGATTTATTCAATAAATATTTGGTTTGTATATGATCTACCTGTCCATCTGTCTCAGTTTGTCTCAGTTTTCAACTTGTTTTTTTTTTGTACCTGCATATTTGTTCACCCGTTCACCTGTTCGTCTACCTATTTATCTGTCTTCCTGTCTACCAATGGACCAGCTTACTTGTCTACTTTTCTGCCAATCTACTTGTCTACATTTCAACCTGTCTACCTGTCTACATTTCTAAAAGTCTACATGTTTGCTTGAAATATTATTTGAATCATTCGAATCGGATGCCATTATTGCTTTTGTTTTGTATCGCCAAAACGGCTGGACTTGTTTTTGCTAAAATTTAATCAGCACCTCTTAGCTCTTACTGTCATACAAATAGAATATTACTTGAATCAATATAATTGATTTCTGAATTTCAACTTTTTTGCACTTTATGCCCCATCTTCAAAATGGCTAGACTTGTTTTTGCCAAAAATATTTTTCTTCAGCACGTCTCCCTATATAAATATATTAAATTAAATTTAAATATTTTTTGAATCATTCAAATCGACTAATCAATGCTCTCGAAATCGTCAACAATCATCAAATTAAATTTCAACAAAACACGCACACCGATTTGCCAAAATATTCACAAACGTTTAAACCGTAAAGATATGCTAAAATGTTTATTTTCAATTTTTTTGCAATTACTATATATTACCCTATAAAAGTATTGGCATAAAATCCACACATAAAAAGGATATAAAGGCATACAATTTAGTACTAGATTAGTATATTACAATATAATTAATGCAGTAAAATAATTATTAATTGTTTTTTTTCAGTGGCGTATATTCAAGCTATTCAAACATGTAATTAACGTTAAGTAAATTTAACTCGAAAACCTCAGTGCAAATAGCTTCTTGTTCCAATTATCAACAAAAATTTATAAACATGAGTAATTCAATACTAGAATATATTCTATTAATTTAAAGTTAAAACAATGTATTTTACATTGCAATTGATAAAATTATTTTTAATTGCAGAGATAATAAGAGCGAAAGGATTTGCATGATATTTTTTAATGAATCCTTTTAATTATTCCCTTGTTTTCATTCCGATGACAATAAGTGGAAATCAATATAAAAATATCAGATATAATAGTTCAATCAACTCATGCTACACATATATACGCAAAAATCCGAAAGATACTCCACACAGGCAACGCTCTCCTATACAATAAATGCCTTTGATTAAAAATAACCTCTCCCACCGCCAGACTAACTGGTTTTGTTTGAATGATTGTGTTAGGACAGGGATTAGGAACCTAATCTGAGCGTACCAATTAGTGGCTTCTGAAATAGAGGATGAATCTATTGTTATAAGTAGCTTTCTTAAAAATAATTTGATAGTAATCACTTTCTATAGTACATACCTATGTATAACATTATTCATTATGTGTCATATACACATACCTTCGAGTGTATAATTGTTGATAAAACGTGAATTAATTTTACATTACCTAATTTTTTTCTTTTTTAATTAGTATATCAATAAAATAAAACTAAAATCTAGCATAGCGTCGTGCCTTAAGGCAAATTGGTAGAACTTCCCGTACTGTAATTTAAAATTTTTAAAAGCTCAGAAAAAAAAATAGATTTTTGATTTTTTTAAATATTTTTGCAACTTCAAAAATTTGAATATGAATGGAAATTGCCTTTTTGAAAACTTAGAATTTTTTGAAAACATGAAAGAAAATTCTTTTTTTTTTGAAAATTTTGAAAGCTTTGAAATTTCTTGAAAGTTTTTGATACTCATTTACATCGGTTGATTCACTTTTTTTAGATTTTTTTCTCTGGATCTATTAAACTGCTGGACCTGTTTTGCAAAAACTAAATCAACTCTCCATTAAGTCATTACAAGTGCAATACTTTTTGAATCATTCAAACAACGGCGGGTCCAAATTTTGCCAAAAATTAATAAGCACGTCTCTCTATCAATAGGTATAATTTAATTATAGAACATCAATCCATTAAAATCAAACATACTTAATACAATTAAATATAGTTTCTTAAAAACAAATTACAATTATTATTTAAAAAATTACCACCAATTGATAAATTATTGATATATCATATATTATCAACATTATAAACATTAAGTGCTTTTAGTAAAACTCATAATGAAAGTGTTAAATTAAAACATCAGATAAAAAAATCAAAATCGTTTAATTATTATATTTATTATTTTGGTATTTAACATCTTTTAGGACAAATATAGTAAATTATAGATACTCTAATATTTCAATTTATCGTGGGATAAATATAATTATCTATATAAGTCTTGAAGCCATCAAATTAGTCTAATCAAATAATATAAATTTCTAACTATTTTTTTTTATTTTTACCAATGTTAGAAGTTTTAAAAAATCAATACTTATAATTATTTTTTACTAAAATTTAAAAAATACGTCATTTTTCTCTGATTTTAAAATTCTATTCTATTATCTATTCTATTTATTAAAAAAAAAGTTTTGGCGATTGGTAATAAGTTAAAGTGGGAATATCTTACATCATTTGTTAATCCAGCACTATTAATTTTATTATACTAAAACTCCGTATTCAAATATGTTTCTCGAACAATTAGTTTATAAAAATAATTATACTAAAATGAACAAATAATATGTTACGTATATATAAAAATAAATAACATATTAAGGTTCAGTACCTCTGTAATTTTTGATGTAGTCGTAACACAAGCGGATGACATTGAATTTGTATGTTGAATACTTTCATTCAGTATTTGTTGTGAATTGTGTGCTAAAAGGTAAGAAATATATAAAATTGTGCCGGGTAATAATTATAATTCATACCAGCAAGTAAATTTTCAACGTAATATAATAAATCAAGTGATTTTTTTTTTCAAATTTTGCGTTTGTTGCTTACCGAAAGTATAAGTCCAAAATGTTAATGCAATAATCACAAATAAGTAAAATACACACAATATATTATATCTTGTTTAATCTGAGACAATATTTGGTTTTAATATGGTTATTTTGATATTGGTCTAACATGATCGAATAATATACAAATATAGAAGATATATTGGAAGTTGATCTAAATTTGTATATTTGAATGTGTTACTTATATCCGGTGAAAGTTTATAGCGATTTGCCGGTTAAAATTGTGACTCGTCTTGCTTAATAGACGTCATGGATTAGATTTAGATAGATTTTTTAAACATTGTACACTTTGAACGATTTTATTATGTTTTTTAAACAGTAACTGTAAAAATTTATTACCAAGGTAAAAATTAAAAATAAATTTTACATGAATATATATCTAACGAATACATAACACATTCATGCCTTCAATCAAAAATTGTAATTATTTTAATATTTTTATTCCAATAATAAATGAAATTAATAATTTATGAAGTAATAATGAAATAATGCATAAAATAATAAGCCAAGATCAAAATTATTAATCATTAATAAACATTGGTATGTATATGTGTAAACCATTAATAATTACAAAATTATTAATGGTTTACACATATGCATAGCAATGTTTATTAATAATTGATAATTTTGACTCTGGCTTATTATTTTATACAGTGTTACTTCATTAATTGTTAACTTCATCATTGGGATAAAAATATTAAAATAATTACAATTATTATTTAATTAGATGAAACCCAAAATTTTATGTGCAGTAAAAGCATAGTAAACGATTACGAAACATTTTGACAAGGGTACCTGGTATTATTAATATAATAAAAACTGTTAAATTTGTCTAAATCATTTATAATTATATATATCATTTTTTTTTTTTAATTTGCGCCTAGGCCATCCTGATATCAATCAGTAGTTGTAAAAGTAGTGAAAAAAATAGATTTAAATATGGTTTAAAATGAAAATAGTTATTTTTCGGGTCGATATTAATCATTATTGGAAAAGAAAACCGTTGATTGTCATTTTGTAATCTGTGAAATATACATTTATATAATAAACAAAATTAAAGTCTGCAAATGCCAATTGAATACTTAAACATTTATTGGTATTATATTATATTTTATACCAATGCAAACTCATCTATTTTTAAAGATTGAACACAACATAATTAAGTGTGTAGATCATGTAAAATGCAGCATATAAAAATATAAAAAAATGCTGTAGAATTGGCTTCAATAGGCACTACTCATGAGATTTTCATAATAGTAACAAATAATTTTTAAAATTTGCATGAAGGATGAATTACTTAATTTTTGTATACCACTTGCATATTCATATTTTTATTCGTTCATGTATTACTGTAAGATATTAATGAATTCAAATTTGTTTAAAAATATAATTTGTTAAATTTACAATTTTTCTTTCTTTTAAGAAAATGGGTCTTAAACTATACAGCGTGTCAGATGGACCTCCAAGTTTGGCCGTTCGAATGACCCTGAAGGCGTTGGACATTCCATTTGAACTGGTCGAAGTAGATTTTGCTGCAGGAGCACACATGACTGAAGAATATGACAGGGTAATTAATAATAATTAATAATTTTGATATTTAAAGTATAAGCAACTTCAGTAAATTATATACTTTTTGCAGAAAAATCCACAAAAAGAAATTCCTGTCTTGGATGACGATGGCTTCTTTTTGAGCGAAAGCAATGCTATTATGCAGGTAAATCCTAATAAATCCAATATTAGTTAAATTATTAATTAAACTAACATTGTAATTTAAGTTCTTATATATTATGATTTTTGTATATAATATAATAATCTTTTAGTATCTTTGTGACAAATATCGTCCAGAGAGCTCGCTGTACCCAAAAGATCCACAAGCCAGAGCACTGGTCAATCACAGACTATCATTCAACTTATCCACATATTATAAATATATTATGGAATATGTTGTGAGTATACTAAATCGTTTATTGCATATAATTTGTATTTGGATTTTCAAATATTTTTCAATTTTAATCAAATGACTAGTTCACTTTCAAGGAAAGTAATAGCGTTGTCGACTTAATTTTTAATTTATTAGCAGTACTAAATGTTCAAAAAATAGTATCTATTATCAGTAGTATTTAATGCGAAAAATTTGTATTTTCTTCAAGTTAACCTTCAGTATGCTTTGCAATTGATATTCATATTATAACAATTTGTATAAAAAATATGCTTAAGTCTCATCCAAATGGCGTGCTTTTTGGGGTAACATATTATTGTTTGCAAAATTGTTTTGACTCAAATTTATTGTACCGAATAATTGTATACTGGCAATATTATTTTTTTTACAAATTACATTAAATCTTTTACACTTAGATGGCGCCAATATTCTTTGGATACGAACGAACTGCACTCGGATTGAAAAAAGTGCACATTGGACTTAGATGCTTTGAAGAATATTTAAGTAAGTGTTTGAAATTTCATATTTTATTTTTTTGTTATTAGATAATTATTTTTAATAATATTCCTTATTTTAGGCAGATTGGGTAAAAAATACAGCGCTGGTGATGACTTAACTCTTGGTGATATTCAATTTGCTGCTGCTACTATGTGTTTAGAAGCCATCGGTTTCAGTTTGGAGAATTATCCCAAGGTAAGTTTATATATATCCATTCTCATTTGTATATATATATATATATATATATATATATATATATATATATATATTACAACTTTTTACTTGATTTCCATTATAATAACAGTGGATTGCACCAACATATCTCATAAAGTATATAGTATATCATATGCATCATATAGCTTTATTAACTAACTTCATATCTTCAACATTTGAAAAAAAACGTATTATGCTTTTATAAAATAATACGTAATATAATATGCTCCATTTACATTTTGATATTTATGTTAGTGATATTTACTAAAGGAAGGTTGTATTAATGCTACTGCATTTATGTATCATAAAAGATTCATCATCAATTCCATCCCCGTTGATACTAATTTTGAAGAAAATCGATATGACAAAGATTCTCAATAAATATATCATCAATTTATTGAGACTCTAAATTATCTAATTGCACCCTTTGCCGTTTCACTCAATTTATAAATTACACTGTCTTTTATGAAAACTGGTGTAATCTGTCATTATTTATAATAGATTATTGTTAATTTGTTAATTCATTAAGCGATATTATTTATTTCTTATATAAAAAACATGAGTCTGGTGCTGATGATACTCAAACTGCGATGGTCAAACATATACTTCACCAAAGTGTTTGAGATAAAGATTATTTTCCATAATTGAAAAATATGGAAAGTGCGGATACATTATTACATCTATGTTCATAGAATTCAGGAATTTTCTGTCATTTGTGTCTATGTAACGAAATGTTGATCAAATCTCTCTTAAATTCTAAATAAATCATGATTTTTTTTTCTGGATTAAACGGGATATTCAATTTACCTAATCTTTTGTAAAAATATAAAATATCCTCATGCGTCTAATTAGTTGCTCAAACTCAAAAGGTACATTGTACATTTTTATGCTCTGCACTTTTGGGAAAAAATTTACAATATTACTAATGTAATAGTTTTAGTTACACCAATTATTTGGTAAAAATACAATGATGCATCTATCTACATAAAATTATAAAATACAATTACAATAATCATAAATTATTCCTAAAAAGCAGTTAATGAATTAAAAATAATTTATTTATTACACCATTAATTGTCTCATTAATTAAATGGCTTAATATAGTTCGGTTACGAAATAATTTTGAAGTTAATGTAGTTTCGAAAAAGCCTCTAATAATAAATAATATATAACTCTACTCATCTAAGATAGCAACATCATCCATAGCTAACATTTGAACAATAACAATTCACGCTACCATATACTTGTTTATCATATCATCATCATCTATATAAACTAAATGTTAATATAAATTGAAAATAAAATTTATATTACATCAAGAACTTAACAAATATAGACCTGAGCATGTTTCAATATAGTTCGGTTGCAAAAAAATTTTCAAATTGATCTAATACCACAATCACATTCAACCCTTTCCACTAGAATGTTTCCGATGCTACTGAATTATAATGAATACTGTCAAAATATCATTTATTTGCTGTGAATTTATATTTTCTATCTGACAGCATGAGAAAATCGCCTGTCTGCACAGCAACCACATGGCTTTTATTAATATTTAGAACGAATTTGTATGGAAAGAACTTCATACATAGCCTTGACATAACGTTGGTCTGTTATGCGGCAGAATCGGTCTCTTAATTTTACTCATTCAAAATTTAAAGAACATGCATGGAACAAATTTGCTTAACAAGAATATTTGCCAGCACTTGGTAGTTTAACATATCATCATCATCCTTACTAATTGAATGTAGTAGTTCGTTTCATATTTTCATTGCCTTTCATTAAACATTTTCATCGATCTATTAACTTATCTATTATATTTTTATCTGAAAATTGAAAAATTCAATAATTCTGATAAAGGTATCGGCTTGGTACGCTACTTTCAAGAAAGAGCAGCCTCAGCTTTGGGCGATCGCCGATGCGGGCATGCAAGAAGTTAGACAATTTAATGCCAACCCGCCCGATCTCGGACACTTGAATCATCCGATACATCCTAAGAAAATAATCGAGAAAAAGTAAAAAAGTAAATTACGGAAGTAAAACGAAGCGAAATGTTGAAATTCCTGTTAACTTTTTCAGTTTAAATTGAAAGAAAGTAATACTTAATATTTTTTTGTAATCACGTAAATTGTGCAAAATAATTTTATATGCTGTCATTCCCAGTGTAGCGTTGCTGTAGCCGCGGTAATTAAATGCAATAATTATTATTATATAAATATTTTTAATTAATAACAGAAAAGTAATGAATAAATTTTGTGAATTTTAGAATAAATATTGTTTTATATTAATTAATGTTTTAATAAATGCAATTTGTGGATATTACTAATACATACTACATGTTCAAGATGGAAAGCTTTCTTATCCTAGGATGAGTTAAAACTGCATATAAGATTTGATTAAACCAAGAATATTTTTATAGGATATGTATCTACATTGTTGCACTCTACATGAAGCCTTATGTGCATGATCAAATAATATATGAATGTTAAAAAAAACTTTGGTAACAAAGCTAAACTAGTGGTGTATGGCATCGTGCCTTACCGTAACGAAATATTCGAGGAATATTAAGTGTTTTCAAATAGATTATTATAGATACTGTAACTTTCATCATTCTTATTTTATAGACAAAATATAAGAGCTAATAAACTGTTTACAGAAAAGTAAATAAACAAAACCTCAATCGGATTTAAAATGAAGGGCATTGCATAAAATTTTTAAGAATTATATAAACTGAATTGTAAGTTAAAGTTATTTAAAGTATACAAAAAATTTCAAATTGGATTCCTGAACGATTACAATAACTTATCCTATGGTGAGTTAATCATCAATATTATACTATATTTATCAATTCAAATTGAACTTAAACGGTTAACAGTTAAATTTTTTAACCCATAATTAATAATCAATATCTAATTATAAAACTTGTCAAGACCATCAAATTTCATTAAACCGACAAAAGTTTTATCTTACAAAAAATTACAGAAAATATTTTGCTTTCTTATTAAAGGCAAACTTATTAACCTAGTAAAATTTATATATTTGTTTTCTGTCAGGATTATTTTTGATGATTATACGTTTTAGCGGAAAAACCCTAAGGACTTAAATATATTTCACTAACGCTTTGTTTTCAAAAAATAAATGATATTATTAATATTTATAAATTACTTAAATTTAGAGTGATCGTTTTAGTTTTACAACATTTAATATATTTTGAAGTATTAAAGTATCATGTATTATAAATAGATTATCGACGTGAAATTACGGCAATCACGTATTATAAATAGATTATTGACGGCTTATAATTAAAGGAAATCTTGAAGGTTTTCCAACTTGCTAAGGACAATTTAACACTGAAAAAAATTATAACTCCGTGTTAGAATATTTCGAACAACAAAAATTAACAGAAAATTGCCAGTGATTAGAAGCTGTTTTGGACTAAAATTATTTACTGTTAAATTTGATTGATTATGAATTTTGTTATGCAATTTAGTAAAACAAAAAAGGTTAATTAACGAGGATTAAATAACTCTAAGTACGACTACTTATTCGTTGTTTATGCATAATTTTCATATATAAGTGTGTAAACATTTTTATAACAGTAAAACCGGTTTTCAAAAACCGATTTTAAAAAGACGACAAACCATAATCACGATGTCTAACATAACCATAAGCAATTGATTTTTCATCATTAAAGTCTTCTAAATTGGTGTACACAAGTTTTTAAACAACTTAGAAAATTTAAACGTTTATATGTTCATCAGAATTTCCGGAAACTACTTCCATCAATGAAATACAGAAAGAGATTATTACACTAGTATAAAATTTTTGCTGATTCAACATAAAAATAGTTATCTTGAAGGTCAACCTTGGCATAGATTGCATAGATCAATTGAATGACAATGGAATGAAATAATAAATCTGTATAACCTATTTTAGGTATATTTTTAACTTCCCGTAGGGCAAGTTATAGTAATCGCAAAAAAATCGAAAATGAAAATTTTTATATATCTTTACGTTTCAGAGGTTTCTGAACATTTTGGCATACCTTAGAAAAAATGGATATATATGTGTGTGTGTGTGTGTGTGTATGTATGTATGTATGTATGTATGTGCGTGTGTGTATGTATGTGCGGATACAAATTTTCGTCGACGATTTCGGGAACACGGATCAACCGATTTGAATAATTCAAAAAGCATTCGATTCGTATTGATAAGGAGACGTGCTGATTAGTTTTTGGCGAAGGCAGGTCCAGCCGTTCCAAAGATACAGGGCAAAAAGTGCCGAAAACGGTAACTCAGTTTTTAAGTGAACGGAGCGTCCGATTTCAATAATTCAAAAAACATTTTACTTGTATTGACAAGATGAAGAATTGATCGAATTTTCATGAAGGCAGGTCTAGCGGTTTCGGAGATCTAATGATAAAAGTAAAAAAAAATGCCATTTGGCGGACAAAAATGATCATTAGACATATGCACATCAAATTATCAAATATTTTATAAAGATTTTAACAATAAGTAAAATTTTTTTTTACATTTTTATGGGTTCCGTACCAATGCTTATCCGTTAGACGGCGGCGCGGCAGTTGCGCGCTTTGACATTTTGTCTCTATGCAGATAAAGCAGTACGATTGCTTTGAAAAACAGTTCAGAATTTCCAAAGTATGTCAAAATGAAAAAAACATTTTATTTTTAAAAAAAATTTTGTTTTCAAAAAAAATTTTTTTTTTCAAAAAAAGTAATTTTTTGTCAAATTTATAGTTTCTCTCTAATTTTTTCGAAGAAAAATTTTTTCAAAAATGTTAATCGTTTTTAAATAATAATTTTTGGTACGGGAAGTTCCAGCAATTTGCCTTAAGGCACGATGCCTTAATTGCCTTAAGACAGAATTCCACTTACAGCTAGTTCCTTTTTTATACAATCACAACTTTAAAAGAGGCTGCATCACAAGGCGTTGTACTTGAATTTATTCTCTTTTATTTTAAATACAATTAATTTAATGATTGATGATCAAACTTATGAATAAAAACTATGTTCGTCAGAATTTCAGAAAGCTATTTCTTCAGACAAAAAGGAGAAAACATCCTTGACGTTTCGGTAACATTCTGGTAAATATATAAGTATAATATCATATAGATAAATAATGTCTGAAATCGAACTAACGAGGTTAGTCTTGAATATATGCGTTTTGTTTTTATTTTTATCGTTCCGTGAATTTTTTCCGTGTAATTTTCCAACTATCATAAAAACAGTATGTGATGTGTCAAATCACACCATTCTTTGCGTATCCACCCTGAAATCACCTCCCAGCAAATTTTCCATCAATCAATTTTAGACATGCATTTCCGTCATTTCGGCGTGTCGTATTATTTTATTTTTCGGCATTTTTTTCGCTCGAAAATTGAATATCGCTTGACAACATGGCCCAGCCTGCGGTTTTGGGTAGAAATAACGCGAATCTGAAACTAAAACCGATGTTTGACAAATTCAAATAATGTCAAAACGCCAGACGTCGAGTTTACTTGGCAAACAAATCGGGATAGTTAATTGATTCCAAATTTTGTTTTCCGACTGTCGTTGTAAATGGAGAATAGCAAATTCTGTATTTCTCTATGGATATTATATTACATTGATTGTCGCAGAAATCATATCAAGTTTATTAACTTCCCGTAGGGTAAGTTATTGTAATGGGCCGAAAATCGGAATTGAAAATTTTTACATTTCTCGACGTTTTGAAGGTTTCTGAACGTTTTGGCATACCTCAGAAAAAATGGATGTGTGTGTGGGTGTGTGTGTGTGTGTGTGTGTGTGTGTGTGTATGTATGTATGGATACAAATTTTCGCCCACGTTTTCGGGCGTACGGATTAACCGATTTGAATAATTTAAAAAACATTCGATTCCTATTGATAAGGAGAAGAGCTGATTAGTTTTTGGCAAAGGCAGGTCCAGCAGTTACGGAGATAAGGAGCAAAGAGTGCAGAAAATAGAAATCGAGTTTTTGAGAGAACGGAGCATCCGATTTGAATGATCTAAAAAACATTCAATTAGTAATGATTGGGAAAAGGGGTTATTAGTTTTTCGCAAAGGCAGGCCCAGCCATTTCGGAGATACAGAGCTAAATGTACAAAAAATGGTAGTTTTTGAGAGAATTAAGCGTCCGATTCAATTGATTCAAAGAACTTTCTGCTTGTCTTAACAAAATAATTGATTTTGGAAAAAAAAAAATTGGTACCATTTTTTTTTTTTTTTTTTTTAATTTTTTGTATATCGAAAATAATTCAGATTTTATTTTTAATTCTGACTATAGTTCTAATATACTTTAAACAAATAATTTCAACTCTGCAATTCAGTTTATATAATTCTTATGAATATTAGACAATGTTACAATATTTATAATAATCTATTTGAAAACATTCAATATTCCTCGAACATTTCCTTACGGTACGGGAAGTTCCAGCAATTTGCCTTAAGGCACGATGCCACCCACCCCACTAGTTTAATTTTTAGTTAGGTAGAAATTTTATGCAACTTACTTATTTGTGTATAAGTAGCATTTTATTACAAAAATTTTAAATTTTATTGGCATAACAGAATCATTTTCATTTTATTTTCTGCAAATATTTTACCTGCAATCAATTTTATATAAACTTCAACAATCTGCTTATAATTATGAAACTACGAATACATTACTTTTCATCATATATATATATATATATATATATATATATATGTATATATATATATATATATATATATATATATTTTCTTTATATTAACTCCATGGGCTTTTTATGCTTTTTCTGAAATTATTAATAGTTTAATTAATTGTAAAATTAGGTTTAATTTTCTTATATGGTTGTGATTGATTATTTATTATATTATTATATTATTATATTATTATATTATTATATTAGTTTAATTTTATTTTCTTTTTCTGAAATTATTACTTGAAGTTTACTTTTTTATATAGTTGTGATCGATCTCAAATGTAAATCGCACATCCTATAATAATAACTATATA